GTGTGTGTGTGTGTGTGTGTGTGTGTGTGTGTGTGTGTGTGTGTGTGTATATACATTGTATATACACATATACATATCGTAACAACAAGAATTAAAATTTAATCTTACGTAAAATCAAATGAAATTGGAACAGATAAAGTTTCGATTTCTACATGATAAATAAACAATGTATTTTTCTTTGTTAGCGGCATTTGCTAGCCAGGAGGCTGAAAGGATTAAAGGAAGCGTTGTTAAGAAGGCGGATGCAATATCGAGTTTGCAAAATAAAGCGATCTAACGGGAATGCAGGTAGTTCTCGTTACCATCTCGCTACCATCCACGATATCAAACTACGGAGCGCCGCTTTATGAATATGTAAAGTCCGTTAGAGGCGCCCCAGCAAATTGTTTGTGGATCGCATCAAATATTGACAGGGCGCTTGTAAATTTATTCACGGCCGAAATAATGTATCGCGGCCGCTATGAGGCCGGATAAGTTGAAATCCCGATTTTCCTCCCACAATAGGGAAATGAGATTCTTGCTCTTTGTTTAATGCAAAGAGAATCGTAAAACTGCGATTGCAAAATCCTTCAATATCTCGAATTCTGGATTTACGGATTTGATATCGAATTGACGTTTGCAAATCAACCATGTCCTTTCCTTTTTATTATTAGATCTTCTTATCCCGAATTCCAATTTTTATTTCCCGGATATTGTAAATTTTGGATTTTTGTATTTGCTTTCTTGAAAAGCATTGAATGTTATCAGATTTTTGCATTTCTATATACATAAAGAGAAATTTCTAAATATTTGTGAGTTGTAATTCTCTTTATTCTATATCTTTTTGTAAGAAAGAAAACGATTATTGCAAAATAAAATTTATTATATCCCTAAAACATTATTCATATATAATTAAAATAAAAATCTTATTATTTTGATATTATATATATATATGTGTGTGTGTGTGTGTGTGTGTGTGTGTGTGTATAAATATATATAAATAATATTTTAGAAATATTGTAATAAATTTTATTTAACAAAAATTTTTTTTAGAAAATCGTTTTCTGTCTTTTAAAAAGATATTATAGATAAGAATAAAGTATTAGAAAATTTGAAGTGAATTGCAAGAAGATTTCAACACTTCTAGTGTAACATGTCGACTATTACTAACAGAATTCTCCTGCGAATTCCTAGCCGTATAAAATGGACTTTAACGGATAACACGTATCTAGGGACGTGTATTTCGAACAATCGGTAGAATCGCCAATTAGGAAGCACGTGAGGAAGTTACAAGGATGATAATGAAAATAATAATTAGCCAGCGTAGTTGCGGTCCATTAATTGATTTGACCATCGAGTCGTCATCGTTCTGGACGGTCACTTAATTAACACGGCCGACCAATCAAGCGGCCGTTTACTCTTCTAATCACATCGGCACTGTCCATTTTCCGCGACACGTTTATTCTTGCAAGATCTTTTTGCAGCAAATTAACTATCAAAAGTTATAAATAAATATCAAAATGTCGTTCTTTTGCGCAATTTCCGAGAGACTTTATTGGCTTAAATTATTTTTAATGAATTCTACAAAATAAATCTTGAAACGAAAAATTAAACTTGATTTTTGAAGTAATGTAATTTAATATTTGTTTCACTGTACAACTTTTAACATCTCAAATCAGAAAACTATATAAATTCAACTATAAAATTATATATACAATTTTAATCTTCTGTCACTAAAAACAAAAAGAAAAAAAATCTAAATATGGTTTTATATGGTTTATTAATAAAATCAAATTCAGAACAAGAAATTTTGCATTTCTGTTAAAAATATGTCTAAAACTGGTTATAAACTAATGAAAAGATTATAAAATCGTTGCGTTTTACGAGGGATTAGGAAAAGATTGAAGGATGCAAAAGGCAACAGGGTGATCGCGTGATGCGGGTCGTTATCGCGAGAATGATGACGCGTGATTTGTTGAATTATGACCGTTGCTCGGTCTGGCCGCAGCGATCACCCTCGCATGTTCACCCTTCCGGCATTACCATGAGGCAAATCAGATTGACGCACCCCTTTCGTGTGTACGAGCTACCGCCATCACTGCCGCTTGTTTTAATTACATCAAAAGCGATAGGCGACACATCGCCCGACACGCATAGCTTGTTCATGACGAACAGAACTCGAATGAGCATCAAAGCCATTCGGCTTTTCATATACGTCTCATATATATCATTATTTGCGACAATATTAAGAATTAAATTATAAATATACTTAATTTTTACTTAGTAGTACTTGTAAGTTTTTTTTATTACAATATAATTTCTTTAGATTCTTCTAACTTTTATATTTATTTATTTATCATCAAAGAATTCAGATGAGAACTTAATTCTTTTTTATGTATTTCAAATCTTTAATATTAATTTTTTATTAATCTAACTAAATTACTTATAAATTGCAAATTTTTCAAATACTTTACGTTTAGAATCGTTTATAATCGTTCGATTGCTAGATTGTTGGTAAAGTTTGCATTTCTTCAGACATGGTAATTCTTTATCTCACTGTCAAAACTTCGTAGAACCTTAAAAGACTGAAAAATGACCTTTTAAGGCCGCGCGACGTGAACTATCAGGTGTCGAGGTTATGTCGATCGATCACAGGATAATTTTATTGATTACAGCCGGCGCGAGGGACGGCGGCGGCAGAAGATATCCTGTGATTGTGTTTGTGCACGGTGAGAGCTACGAATGGAGCAGTGGAAATCCTTACGACGGCAGCGTCCTGGCGAGCTACGGTGGTGTCGTCGTCGTCACCATCAACTATAGACTCGGAATTCTGGGTAAGTCATGACAGATGCCTTCGGTCCCAATTCGGTGACATTTAGATCCTTCCAGCTTCTGAATCCTGGATTTCCAGGAGAGCCAAATCTCCTGTTTTTTGGACCTGAAAATCCTGGATGCTCGGAGATTTCTGTATTTCTGTTCTAAATCCTCCCTGTGAAACTCCTATATAAATTCTGAAATGGAAGATTCAACCTCGAAGATTCCTTAACTCGTTAACATGCTATCTCCGTAAATTCTTAATTCTTTCTAATTTTCTAGTTTCTCCTTGCATTTTTGAATAATAAATTCCACCCACAAAATTTCTATTAATTACTAAACTTTTGCGCTTAAATATTAATTTTTTAAATCTCTCTTTATATCCGGTTTGCTTTATAAAATTTTAAATTTCTATATTCCTTGAAAAACTATATTAATTTCCAAATAATCGTAATTCTTTGCGTATCTATTTCCTTTAAATTTCTAAATAATTTCCGTTCATTTCTAGTATACATCTCTTATTTCTTAGCTTCCATACATTCCTTCCATCTCTTCTGTATTAAACACCTCGATAATTAATCTCGATTGCTGAGTCAGATATAACTTTTGCAAACTGTTCGGAACTCAGATAAATCACATATGTTAGCTGCTCGCTTAATGGTGTGAAACGCTACCTTGCAGCAGTTAAGGTTTGAAACGAGCCAGTCGACCGTAGCTCATTAGCTATTTAGGGCCGGTTGCACCAATGTCACTTAACGCTAAGTGTGTTTACTCAATTTTCCTGCTCTAACCACAGGCAATGTCCAAGGCTATAATCGCGAAAGAGACGACTAAGTCAGGTCAGTGATACAATCGGCCCTTGAAACCGGTCGATTGGTTTGAAATATCTCTCCGAAGATGGCGATCCGGCGCGTTACGCCGACACGTCATTAGACAGAACTTGTTACCCTGTGACGTTTGACATGCGACGCTCGTACTGTTCGACGAGTAAGAAGCTGCAGAAAAAGTAGTGGAGTATGAAGAAACGAGTGGTGAGAAGTTGGCCGCGACCGCCACGAGGATTGCAAGTTCCGGCGACCTGGCTTGTTGCCTGGCAACCCGGGCAACCAAATCTAATAGGAAACTCATTACGGTCAGGTCTTCCGTTTCACCAAACTAAATTCTTGACTCCACCCTCTCCCTTCCCCCCCCCCCCCCCACACACACACACACCCGTTCACCAGAAACCCTGCTGTTCTCATCTATACTCACATTGTATACAAGGTGTCTTAACACACTTTTCAACTTTCAATGAAAAAAGAGAATTGAAAATCACAAAACTAAAAATTTTAGACAAAAAAAAAACCTAAAAATCTGAAAATGAAACCAAATCTAAAAAAAAATCTGAATAAACCGATGTTTCGGATTTGGACTATTATTAAATTATCCTAAAATTTTTAATTTTATTAACTAAATTTTAGTTATAGTTGTAAAATATTGTCAGATTAATACTTGCTCTTTCTGCAAACTAAAACACAACAATACAAGTTAAAGCGAAATAGCAAAGAGAATAGCATTAAAAGAACATCTCTTGTCAAAACAAGTTTGAAAGGTGACACACGATGACAGCAAATAGTAAATCCAAATTCTAGAATGCAATTTTGCCGATATTGAAAATAAAAAACAAAAAGAGCCGCGAGAGAAAAAAACCGCAGCTAGTAGCGGGATGAAATGACGACGCCCAGGAAATTCCACTCCGCAGCGGCCGTAGCATTTTTTCGTCGTGCGCGCGCGCGACCTGTTTTTTTTTCTATTTTCCTTCGTTTCGGAAAAATGATGCGGCGCTTTGTGAACGCCGAGCCGACCACCGAGCCCTACTCTCTCCTCCATCCGCGCGTGTATACCAGCGTGTACCGGAAAATTTAAATCAACGAATAGCGTTCAGCAGTTCCATTGTAACGAGAAGAATAGGAGACGCGGAAGCGCAGCGCGACAGATACGCCGGAGGTTGAATATCAAATGGGACATGACCGGTGCTTTATTTCTATTCCGCTTTCATGTTCTCACACCTCCCTCGTGCGTGTGAACGCGTGCGAAAGAGCTTTGTGCAATTTTTTTTTCCCCCCTTTTCGATGTGGAGCCCGAGGAATCGTTATTGGATCGGACCAGACGTAGCCCGAGGGTGAGAAGCCGAGACGAGAAGACGCCACCCGTCGTAAGATGAGAAAGATTGTGCGAGGCGAGGCAAACGTCCCATTATACAAAAGTCTCGGGAGATTCTAATCCTACGGGAATTCAACGTTTCCAAAAGTCCAAAGAGAAACTTTGAAGGAGGTACGAAAATCGCACTATCCAACAACCCGATCGATATCAGATTGCATTACTAACGTCCTATTGAATAAAAGTCTTAAAAGGAGGTAGGTAAGTACAACAAGCAGCGAGAATTCTCCTATAAAACTTTAAACTCTAGGAAATTGAAAGAAAAATAAGGAAAAATGTAAATTATATAAATATACCAGATAAAATGTTTGGATGATAATTACATCAGCAGCAACTTAATATAAAGATATATTCTCACTGTGTAAATATATATTTAGTAGAAATATATATTTTCATACAATTCCATTAAATTAAAATTTTACAATTTGTAAAAACTGTATCTATGAAAAATTCTCAAAAGAATAACTTGTTGCTTGCGAGGTGTTTTATAAAGATTTTTCTATAAAGCTAATAATTAAATGCAGCAATACGCAAGTAGCTTATTTATAAAAAAATTCTTAAAAATAATACTCTTGTACATTAGCAGCAGAAAATCTAGTGAAAATCAAGTCTGCAGAAATTAAATAAAAGAAACACATGGAATGGGGGAAAATCCCTCTACGCGACAATCCGATCAGGGTAGTTATTAAACAATCTGCAGGAACTTGTAATCCAATCTGATCCCATAAGAACCTGCGTGACCCTCCCTAATCCTGAAAAGAAAATTCAGAAAAGGGGAAAGTTGGGGCGTTTTTCCATTCAGCATGGCTTTCCAAATTATCGATTTGGCAAGGCCAGCGGGAAACAGTCGGCGCAACATCGTTGACCTAAATCCTGGCGACAGTAACGCCTCCCTTGTTAAAGCACCGAGTGCCCTAAAGTTAATGCGCACTGGCAAGTATATACACGGCGGCTCATAATGGGAATAATCCTCTTAGTTCCGCGAAGAACAATCATCTCCAGTATGTCGGCGGGTAAATATGATGGATAATTTAATGGCGCGGCGTTTCGAGCAACGAGGCAAACATACCGACCAGGCGCAGCCTTATTGCTGGAGTGAAATATCACGTCGCCGAACTTAACAGCAACAACAATCGTCGCTCGCGATGATTTAATTCGGCCGAATGAAAGGAAGGAAAAGGTGGAAGACCCTCGAAGAACCGGCCTGATTCGATTAGCGCTAATCTAATTTCCTCTTCTGTCCTGTATTAAAAAGAGACCGGAGCTAATTGAGTACATGGATAGCTGACACTAATAATGATTTTTGGTTTCGTTTAATTAAAATATTACTTGTAGAATAATTGTTCAAGAAGGGATATCTATCTTTTGCTAATTAATAATACTTTTTGTAATCTTAATTAAATGAAAAAGTAAAAATTATGATAGAGATACCAGATATTTTGCGCCAATTTATTCTTATACTCATTTTCTAATTGGCTTTAGAAAAAGAAGAGTATAACCATAATTAGAAAGAGCAATGGAAATGCATTTAACCGAAATAACTTCGTTACTATTCAGAACGCGTAATATCGAAATTTCTTCGTCGTGTTTCAATATTTAACTGCCGGAGAGGGTCTACACCGTTGGAACAAATACGAGAATAAATATGCACAAACCTGGACGGTTGGCAGATTTACGAATCCAGATTTATTTCAGCGGAAACGGAAGGGAAAAAGTAAGATCGGTCTATTGACGAATGTATTTCGACGAGGACGAAGTCGAAACGGTTTGCGTATCATGAACAATGCTGAACCCGACAAATCGGGTAAGACTGTTGCCAATGGCGCCATCCGGTCGTCATAAATATCACCTCGACTCCGCCAATTGATAGCAATATCTCGTTCGGCGAAACGATACACAAAGTAGGACGTGATACGCGTCTGAACAATAAATCATACCGGCTGCACGCTAGACGAGCCAATCTCTACATCCCCGTAGCCATTTAACGCAGGAGAAACTGTGCCCGGTGCCAGATTCCTCTGGTAGTTCAAATAATTTAAGTATCGATGGGATGGATGCAAAAATCAATTAATTCATCAAACAAAATATATTTATGTAAATTAAATTTAGAACAGAAGGCTGAATTTTATTGAGTTAGAACATAATTTTTTAGAGCAAATTATATAGATTTAAACTATAGAAATTGAACTCTTTTAAGAAAAAAATTATATCAATTATTAGTTTCAAGATTAGTTTTAAAAATTTAACAACAAAATGTGTTTCTTTTAATAATAAAAAAACATTTAAAGAAATATGAGAACATCACAATTAGTTCAATAATCAATATAAATAAATAGAATTTTCTATAAATACAGATTTTTAAAAGCTAATAGGACAATCAGTAATTCAATAAGTCATCAAATATTTATTATAATTAATATCTAAATTTAAGAATAAACAATTAAATATACTTCTAAGAAAAATAATGAATGACTATAATTGTACCTCCAGATTTCCCTTATTTCCTCATTTTTCTTTCATTCGGACATAACCAATCCAATAATTTCATTATATCCCAGATTTAACTGGTCTGTCAGTCGATAGTCAGTCCGCGACATGCGACGATTAGAATTAAGCCCATCGGCAGTAATTCCGGTGCGATCACGATGATGTTATACCAGCCGTAACCATCGATAATGGACACCGAGAGCATCGCGTTGACCAAAAGCGGGGCTTGTTTTGATTGCAGGCTTTCTAAACGCCAACACAGACTCGCACTTACGCTCGCCGGCGAATTACGGTCTGATGGACCAGATCGCAGCGTTACATTGGGTGCAAGAGAACATCGCTTATTTCGGGGGTGATCCCAAAAACGTCACGCTGGTAGGACATGGCACGGGCGCCGCCTGCGTGAACTTTCTGATGACCAGCCATGCAGTTCCTGATGGTGAGTTATCCTTCCAACTCACGTTCGCAATGCTATTCAATTTTTAATTCATGCAGGAAACGTTTTTGTACAGTAAATAAATAATTATTAGGTTGAAGATTTAAAGAAATAATTATAAAATTGTAGAGAAAGCTCATGGTTTAAACCCATGATCTAAAATCTGTGAATTGGTTAAATTCACAAATTAAAAAAGCTGCTATGTGAAATACGTTATTATGTAATAAAATGTACTTTCGCAAACTTTTACTCGCAAAGAGCAAAAATGTACTTTCAAGAGTCTTTTAATCTTGGATACTCGTAGAGAAACGTTCCTGCAACGGTTTAGTGTCTTAGAGTAAGCTATAGAAAGCCGTTCCTCTTGTCGCATGGAAACAGATAATGTCACACAGAAATGGTAGAGTGAAAGAGGGGAACGGGAGGGAAAGAGGGTCGAGGTAGAGGTCGAAGAGCGAGAAGCCGCACGAGACAATGATACGGAGAAGCTAGGAATAATGGGATGGTTTACCAGATGCCATAAATTATGGAGGAATCAGCTGGTCCAACCACCATTGACAACTCGCAGCTGTAGTGAATTATCATCCAGAAGGTCCTCCGGCGATAAGCTTTGCGGTTCCGAAACAGATTGCGACACTTTGTTTTTTTGTATCCTCGAGCTGATAAAACCAGTATCACATGACTCATCGAAGAATGCGACGAAGAATAATAGCGAGCGATTTCTGGCCAAAAAATTATATCGTATCTCCTCCTTTCGTAAACTGATGCCATTTTTCACGTAAGAACTGACCGCAACACGGCGATAAATAACAAAATACAATAAAGTTTAAATTCTCACTGTTAGATTACAGATTTTTTAATTTTTTGAAAATTTAAAACTTTTAATTTCTGAATGATTGAATTTAAAACATCTGTGGAATTATTCTAGAATTTAAATTTACTTACATAAATCTTTTAATTTCTTTTTAAATTGTTCTCTTCTACAATTGAAGGTTAATCTTGGATATTTTTAAAATGGACATTTTGTCCATTTTATTTCTCCGTTAATCTCTGGTCATTGAATATGTACATCTTATTTGTCCCTCATATTTTGTATCCGGCTTTTTTAAATCCCGAAATTTTTATTTCTTAGTTTCTCCTTTGATTCTGTGCCTTGAATAATTTATATGCTTGACTTTGGCTTCCTCAAATCCTGATTTTTTGATTTTTCGAATTTTCGATTGCTTCAATCCTGCATCTTAAATTTCTTGGCTCCTTGATCTCATAGTTTCTTTTCTTTTCAAGTAATCCTAATATACGTATCTCTTTTCTCAATTCTTCGTTTCCTTTGATCCTGCACCTTTAATTCGTCGAACGCTTGGCTCCTGGGATCTTGTTCCCTCGAAGGAATTAATTAATCCTCGGGTATTATAGAGACCTGCCATTAAATCCAAATAACGCGACGGAATTTGAGCTGGCGATAATCCTTTAATAGTCCTTTAATGTCGCGAGCTTCGACACCATCTTATCGTTCGGTGTCGTCCTCTCGGCGACGACGGATATCGGAAGAACGGGACCATCTTGATTCCGTAATATCGGAAATACGTCAAGGATACCACTAGGATATTCACAGTTTACCTTGGTATCTCCTTTGCTAAATGAATGAGACCGAATCAGATATGATTGACATGTATCGGACTGATAAGATCATTCTCGAAGACACATCTCGTCAAATATCAAGACAGCTGGCCGACTAAAGACTACCCTTACGATTACATGTAGAGGTAGCCTGTCGCTTTTTCCTACGCTCTTCGCTTGCTTGAATACTCAATTCTGTGAAGATACTGTGAAGAATTTATTAAATATTAGAATAGAACTTTGATCTTGTGTTGAGTACAAATTGATAATATACATATAATTAATATAATTAATGTTTGTTAAATAAAATTTAATAATAATATTGAAAATAAAATTAAAATAATTTATTAATATGTAACAAAATAATGATAAAGAATAATACAAACAAAATGAATCCGTTAATTAATTATAAATAATTAGTAAATATTATATAAGAAAGAGTTTTTGTACATTTCTTTATTAATACTGTGTATATGTCGGGATCTAATATATGACATCTTTCATAGAATCTCTCGTCTCTTCAAGATATCAAGATTAACGACTCACAAGATTGGGATTAAGCGACTTATCCCGGTCTTCTGTATTAAATAATAGACGAACCAACACGACGAAGCTGTGTAACATCATGTTCACCTTGCTGCCTTAATTTTCTTCGTGCTACAAACCATGCACTCTCTTGTCTATTCATGTCTTACGTAATGTCCAATTTTGCGACTCGTGATGAGAAAATTAATGACTAATAAGCTCCTGCTCAATTCTTTGTTCTTCACGAGATATTACACGTTTTATTATTATTAATAAAGGAAATAAACCTTAAATTTTTTTATTTTTCTCTATCTTTTCTGTAGAAAAAATAAAAGTTGTTAATTAAATTGAAAGATGTTTGAGCAGCCCCAGGGAATAAATAAGAGCCCATTTATTTAATTAGTAATTTTCTCCTTTACGTAATATTAACGTAGAGGTAACGAGCAGAGACATTCTGTAAATAATAAATGTAATAATCAAAATAATTTCCATAATGTATGGAAGATAATGACTTATCTCTTCTCTATAAAAATTCTTTGATTACATTTTTCAATATCGCAATATACTTATCTTTTTTTTAGACATCTTGTATATAACCACATTCGGCGAGTCTTGCCCCTCATCTTTAGAGCGGAAATCGCTGATAACGTCGTAATGGAAGTCGTTGATTGGAAATAAATCTATCGAGCGGTCGAGATGAGTATTCGTTACTATGCATTGAAACTCGGATTGTATTTCGTTTACTCAGGTAATATCGTAGTTCCGTTCGCGAAGGGAATCGACCCCGAAATCATCTCGAAATTCAATTCTGCGTCGCGATATATAATCTCTTCCCACGCGAACAAACACTTTTGCATTACGAGATACGATTTGTGAATCCCAAGATAAAGCGAGCCCTTTCGAAAAGCGTGACACAAAGACTTGGCGCGGAAATTTCGAAATCGTATCTTGAACACGTTTTGACGTTTCTGAAATATAGAATTTTTACGACGTGAAACGGTTTTTAAAGAGTCCGGGAAACAAAGAACAGAAAGATTGCAACATTGCTAAAACTGTATAATAATAATAGCCGGGAAAATACTTAGGATCTAAAGACTTTATAAAGTATTATTAATAATTAATTATACCTCTAGTTAAGTTTCTATGCCGAGCGAAACTCTCACATTGTAAAGTATACATTAATAACGTCTTGATGATGAAAAGACCTTCATTTATTTATTATTATTATTGTTGGTGAGAATAATGAATTACATTTTAATTAACAATAGATATAGGCCGAGTACATGTTAACTAACTAACAAACGTTAACTACAACGCGAAACATGGCATTTCCTCGGCAAGCAGGATCTTGGTTGCTAAAGTCTTTTTAATATGAAATAAATTCAATTAATTATATTACCAACTACGTGCCGCTTTGGTTCCAGCAGACTTTCAACGTAGTGGTTCTATAATAATTCGATGATCAGTATTATTATTGATATCGATTAAAATCCCTTTTATTATCCCTCCCCCCCCCGACTCAGAAATATATATTGCGAAAAACCTCAGTCACACCTCAGTCAGGGATCGAGCCTGGAAAATTTTAATTAACATTTTTTACAAAGCAAAAAGTCTATCTGATGTTTGTCAAGACTCGTAGCAAATCTTGTGAAATGTACGTGACATCAACGGTGGTGCGATTGCAGGTCTGCTGTTCCATCGAAGCGTTCTGATGTCGGGCAGCGCGCTTTCACCCTGGGCGTTGGTGAGAGGCGCCGCCAATTACGCCATGCAGGTCGCCAAACACCTAAATTGTTCGTCGGTGAGTATCAGCAAACATGTCCTCCTATGATCGCATCGAAATTATCCTGCGCGTCAGCCTAATAATTTCATTAACCATTCCGTCACCCTTTTCCATCATACGAGCCTCTTACCCCAAAAGTAATGACATTTCCCTCTATTAAACACTGTGAAATTTAGTGAAATTCGTGGAAATTCGAATTAATGCATTTCTGCACATGTGCGTATTTAACTTTAAAAACGTTGAAATTTTACAGATTAAGATTTATAGAAAGTTTTATTGCCTTTGTCAAGGTAAATTTTAAAAGTAATAAAGTTGAAAAATAAAAAATGCGTAACGCGGTGAAAATGTTTTTCGGACGAAAGGTTTTAAAAAAAATGTAGAAAACTCCAGGCAGATTTTAATTTTATGAGACAGCCAATCCCGGAGTTAAATTTGAATACGTTTCGTTTATTTTAGTTTGCTTGGGTGAGACCGATCGACAAAACACGTACCTGTTATATTTTATCGTGTCAACACTCTCACTCGCTTTAATTCTTATTCGCTCGTTTTCGAGCGTGGCTCCCATAATTCGCAATAATGCCGATCGTCGGCAGTGAAACGACCGCGTAAAAGCGGACGGGCATAAATTAAAATATCAAATGCGGGCATACTCGCGCACCCGTGCCCGGTGTTTTTGCAGCATTAATTACGCAGTACCAATTATATTAACGGCGTGTTTCAATTAAGCTAATATACACTCGAGACGTCGGTCCCAATAGGCGAATGCGCGCACTTTCAATAAAAGGGACGTTAAATTTCGCAAATTACAATTACTGGCCGATACAAATTTGCTACGCGTTACAGTTATAGGAAAACAGTGACAATTATTTTACCAGTTAGAAATTTCTTGATTACTTTAATAACGTTTCATATATCGGTTTTGCAGGAAAATAACGTTGAATAAAATTGTAGTTATTTCAAATTTCAATAAATGATATTGCTATATCGATATTGCACAGATTCGTCGTTCCTTTCTCCTCTTTATCATCCATTCTTCTTCTTTTTTCCACAGAAATACACTTCTGCTACGTTTCTTTTTCTCGCTCT